CTTTCTCCCTTTTATTCATTATAACATACTCTTGCTCACTGAAATTATTTATGAAATTTATATTCACTAAAATTAATGTATACAACCAGTCTTCTATAATTCGCTTTCCAAACTGTGCTTCAAAATCAATCGAATACCTTTTAAATATTTTGTCATAATTCAATTTCCCTCATAAAAGTGAGCGTCTTGCTTTAGTGTTGGAAGCCTATGCCTCAGCAGAGCGTCGCATTCATGACCTAGAAGCTCAGTTGGCTGCTGAAACTAGCGAAAAAACTACGGCAGCCGCTACCTTAAAGTCAGAATTAGAGGTTCATGTAGAAGAGCTGCAACGCCAACTGGAAGCGGAAACCCAAGCACGTCGCGAACTTGAGGAGGCCAGTATTCGGTTGGAGGCGAACCATACGGCGCTGAAGCAGGTGGGCTCGCCTCCCTTCCCTGAGCGGACAACGCCACACAGTCCACTACGGTTGCCAGGTGCTCTATATGCGCACCATGTGTCTACCTTCTTTGCTACACCTACTTCCATTTATTCCAATGACCCACACTAGTCAAAATTATTCTATATTCTTTTTACCTTTTGCTTACCCATTTCCTGCAAACTTACCATATCGGTAGGTTAGCGCTGATCCACATATTTGGTAGTCGAGGCATCTCTTGCATCTGCCAATATCATCTAAGCGTCTCTATGTGCCTGATCTGCAACCTTGAAAATTAACTCTGTATTTTATTGGAGACGTTAGTAGTGTCACATTGGCAAGAAACTGTCAAATTCTTTCATAATAGATTAAGGCAACCTTTGGTAGAGGTAGCTCTGGGGAGTTTTTATGCAGACTTTTTTCGATTTAACGAAGAGCTTCTACTGATTATGCTCTGGTCAAATATGCCTTTCGTTAAATGCCTTATATATAGTGACCTACTGGAGTGAATGCATATTAGGTTTCCTTTAAACTGCTACACCTGAAAATGCAGACATTCAATAATTATGTGGAAAGAAGAGTTAATTGTTTAAGCACATGGCCTAACATAGTATTGGTTTAGAACATTTGTCAGATTGCATTCTGAGATAACTTGAAAAAGGAAGTTGTCATGGTTCTTTTAATTTCCCTGTCTTAAAAAGTCTTTCCAACCATGCTATGCTAAGATTTTACGATTTACTCGATTGGACATTATTTCCTATTTAATACTATAGTCAGCAAACCCTCAAACAATCATTTTACGCTATTGAAGCCAGGTTTATTTGCTGTTTGTTTGTCTTTTCATAAATGTATATATTTATGCCAATGGATTCTAAGCATATGTTTATATCAAATTACTAAATTCTATATAGAACTTGTTTCATGATAAGAGCAATTGGATCTAATAATTAAAGTTTATTTAATGAAGTTTTAAACAAGCTTAAGAAAAAATCGAAATTATGGTGTGACCTTAAGAAAAGATCGTTTAACATCTTATAATCGTATCATTATTGGAACTTAAGTCTCTATATTAAATCTTCATTTAGACTGCTTAT